AGTTGCATTCGCTCGTTCTTAAATTTTGATGCGATAAATGCTAATTTTTACATGCATTACTTTAAAACACCTTATTTGGGAACGTTGCTATTAAAATCGAATTCCGAGGATTAGTAAATTTTGATGAGGTGTGGAATATTGCAATTCGTTATGCATATATTAAAGGTTTTTTTAGAAATTTTATGTGGAAATTGCACCAATCATATGTACCTATGAATTTAAATAGCAAAATCTCGATTATTGGTTATAAATGTAACATTTTTTTTCATGTTACACAAAAATTTAAATTTAAAATTTTAACCAAATAAAGTTCATATATCACAATAATATAATGCAAAAATCTCGTTTATTTGGTCTATTTCTTTAATAAACACATTTTTTAATCAGCGTATATTAACCTAACCTAACCCTGATCATATTATTTAAACAGTTCTATACTAAAATTCCAATTCGTCTCTCATCGAAACTTCATAGTTTCGTAAATATGACAATTAATGTTTCAACAGACGAAGCAGAAATATCTTGACAGGCATCCTAGGAAGTACAAAGTTCAGGAATGATTAAAATTTGAATTCCAGTCGAATTGCTTTAAGTATTTAAAGAAAAAAAGGTTCTGGACAGCAAAGAAATCCATACTTTCATAAATAAGGATGTTAGCACGATTTCAAACAATTCACTTAATCCCACGTTATAAGTTTTGCTAACACGTAGATGTAATATATCCTTTAAGATCATTTGTGCTCTCATTTCCACCTTTTTTTTTATTTCTTATATTCTAATACATTATATAATAAACCAAAATGTTTTCTCATGCATTTATATACTATAATTAGAAACTTAAATAGCAAATATATTGTGTGAATCGACTTAATTACAATTAACCATAGTCATTGGAACATAGAATATTCCATAAAAGGCTAATCCCGAAAAACTAAGATTATGCATACATGACTGCTTAAATTTTTTAATAATGTAATTATTATTATTATTATCTTAATACTTTAATATGTATCTTCCCCTTTTATCTAATTATCATTTATTAATTAATTCAAATCCTTTTAGTA